TTACGAATTTGGAATCTTCTCATCATACTTTTGGGAAGACGTTTTTGAGATTTGAGAATAAAAGATGGGCCCGACAAAACGAATAGGCCCAAAACACAAAGTAGAAAAAGAGGTCTAAGTAAGAAAAAATGCCCAATAAATTGAAGCTGGTGAGGCGTCACTCCTGTCGCTTCTTGTTTTCCTTCTTTTGGATAATAAGCTTCCTCGTTTACCGTCTACATCATCATAATAGTTAATAGTTTCAAATAAAATTATAAATTTATAATGATAATATAATATAATATAATATTAATAATATATATAATATTATAAATAATATTTTAATTAAAATAATAAATTATATTATAATATATTATAATTATTAACTTATAATAATATAATGACACTATAATTATATCATTGTTAATTAAAAAATAACCTTATCTATTCCGTGTCCTATCTCTGCACCTTTAGCATTTCACTAATCCAATCAATTCATGGAAAGAAAAGCAAAGAAAAGACGACGAAATGGCTCTATCAATTTTATACTTAATTTTCATATAATATTAAAATTTGAGTTTAATCAGTGAAAAGATTAAGAGTTTATGATAGTTTGAGGTTGAACAAGAGGAAAGCATACTAAGCATGTTTGTTAGTCCAAGATTCATGTGATAGATTAAACTTGTACAGTAATAGGACTCTTAATTTCGTAACCTAATATTCATATGATAGGATTCAAAATTAATATTAAGTATATATGTGAGAAGGATGTGTTAATTATGTAAGTTTCACTTTGAAAAATATTTCTAAAAAGTATATAAACTAAATATAAAGCAGTTGCTCTACTAATTATTAATTAATTTTAAATTAAATATAAATTTCATATTAAAACACATCTGTGTAATTTTTGCGTCTAGCCAAAAGAAAGTCTATATGAAATCTTTCCGTTGGAAAATGTTGCTTTTCATTATATTACTAATTACTAATTTGATACTTCGTGGTTTTTGCGAAAAGAATTTTTTTTTTTTTTTTAAGTTCTACCCGGTTGGACCATAGACAGTTCCGCCCCACAATTAACCGCCGGAAAATCCATTTTTTTTTTTCTTTTTAATGCACTAAAGTGATTTAGGTTTGTGGAAGAAAAGGGTGGAGAGAGAAAGCACAAACTTGAATTGTTGTTTTGAGAATGTGATTGTAAAAACTTCTTATATTAATGAAAAAAAATCACTTTAATTATTATGGTTCTATTAATAAAAATTCATTATTTATTAAAGATTTTTTTATCTTGTGTTTTTAGGACAAAGGATAAGAATACATTTATCATACTTTTTATCATTAATATATATAATAAATTAAAAATCGATATTAATTTTATTAATTATCTAATAAAAAATATCTATGTGTGTCATAGATAAATTAATATTAACGATTTCATTTTTCTATGTAAATTATTATATGATTAATGATAAAAAAATGTAATAAATACACTCTTACCTATATCCTAAAGGACACAAAATAGAAAATTTTTTTATTAATTATTAATTAATTTGATATTTTAGAATTTTTGCAAAGAAAATACTGTTTTGAAGTATAAGCTAACTAGATTGCAAACAGTTGAACTCCACAATTAATGGTCCAATGGGGCTCTACAGGTCAGACTACAAGGTAGTTTTGTGCATGTAGCAGTGCCCATCAGACAGATAATTTTGCCATAGAAACTTCAGGAGTTTAGAATCTTCTCATCATAATTTTGGGAAGAGATTTTTGAGATTGGAGAACACATCATAATTTTGGGGAAGATATTTTTGAGATTTGAGAATAAAAACACGGGCCCGACAAAATGAGTAGGCCCAAAACACAAAGGAAAAAAAGAGGTCCAAAATGGAAAAAATGCCCAAAATACGGAGCTGGTGAGAGTCATTGCTGCTGTTTCTTGTTTCTTTCGTTTTGGTAAGCTTTTCTTGTTTTCCTCTTGTTAACCGTTTGCATTTCTTAATACTTACAATGTTTAACAAGATTATAAATTTATAATGATAATAAAAAATATTTTATAATTTGAATTATTTTTAATTATAAAATATTAATTATCTAATAAAAGTGGACCTTGATATTGGGACTCTTTTCCTATTAAATAACTCTTATTTTATAGTTCAAATTATAAAATAAGTGTAACTTAATGATAATATGACATTAGATGAGTACAATGGCAATGTAATATCAAATAAATGCATATACTTCCTCCATTTAGACATGATTAATA